ATTTCCCTTGACTTTCCTCCTGTCCCACTATCATGCTCAGTCCCCACCAGAATTTCAGCACTTCCTGTCATTTACTTTTTGAAAACAACTTCTCACTTCTTATTTTCTTTTCTTTCATAAACGATGTAATGTACTTCAAAAGAGCAAGGCTTAAAAAAAGTCTATTTCCAAGACTTCTTTGTACATTTAATCGCAGCTTTGCTTGAAAGTAGGTTTTCATGCTGATCCTTCTGTGCTTTTTTATGTAAAGGAGACTTACAGGTAGGAAACAACAAAAAGCAGATAAATCCACACCTTCCAAACCCCGGAAATTTCTTGTACAGAGCCTTCATCTCAGGTGGGGTGGTTGGGCATGACTTGTATCACTAGATTGTCGAACTTAAAAAGAAAATAGGCGGTGATATAAATTAGCATTTGGCACAGGGGTTAAAGATGGACTGTTAAGTACAAGGTTCGCAGTTCGAAATCACCGCTTCTCCAAAGAAAGATGAGGCTTTCTGCTCACAGAAAGATTTTTAGCCTGGGAAACCCGCAGGGGCAGTTCTACTGTGACCTATAGGATTAACTACAGAGAAGGGACACTCGAGAGCCTGATGTCCTTTACAGAATCAAATGTCCGTGGGGTATTATGACCACTTAGAAAAAGGAGCTCAAACCCCAATGCAGGAAACTGGGGTGAAAGGTTTTCCTAACTTTGGGCATGCATTGTAGGAATCACAAGTGACCTACAGACACCTTTTGCTTTATTAACATACTAAATCACACACTCCTGGAGCCATGACAGAGCTGAGTAAAACTAGATAAGGACCAAAAAGGGAGAAAGCACCCTAATCCTGAAAATCTCTTCCTATTTATACTTAATATTAACTATTCCTCCTCTTCATTAACATGTATTTGTTAGATTAGAATAAAAATCCTTGCTTTCTAATACCTGTTCTGCGCACAGTGAGTGGTTTCTCATTATTTGGAACTTAGTTTTTACTTTGAATAAATGGTTGAGTGAACCTTTGCTATGTGTGATACCTCCCTGAGGTGTTCAAGTGCTGACCTTCAGATCCTTCCAAAGAGCGTGGGGTGCTGGAGCCAGTGACTAAAGAGCTGGGGGCTAAACCAAAAAGTCACTGGTTTGAATTTGCCAGCTGTTCCTCAGGAGAAATAGGTCGCAGCCTGCTTCCATAAGCCTGAACTAAAACCCCACCTACTTGCCACCCTGTTAGTTTCCATTCCGAGGGACCTATAGGATACAGTAGAGCTGCTGCATGTTTTCCAAGGCTGTAAATGTTCTGTGGGAGCGGACAGGCAGTCTCATCTGTCTCCTATGAAATGGCAGGTGAATCGCAACAATAACCATTCAGTTAGTTGCCGGTTGCTTAATCCATTGTGCCACCAGGAGGCCTTGGCGATCCTCTGGCCCTACTTTCTCCTATAAGGTTGGAATCTATTCAATAACCATGTCCTCACTGGTAACATAACTTTTTACAAAAAAACAAAACCAACATTGTCACAATCACAAGAAGGCAATATTATATGAGACAATACAGTAATCTCAGATACTATTACCACCTGATCATCAAAGAGAAATAGAAATAATAAGCAGCATAATGTCTCAGAGACAATCAATTTGTGTTCACACACAGTAAGGATGACACAAAGGAGTGACCAATGCACAAAGCCAAAGGACACCCTGGCCTACCACCCTGGTCAGAATCGAAAGTCTGTTCCCGTTGGTACAAGGATCTTTTTCTCTGTCTCCTTTTAAAATATATTTTTCACTTATCATAGTGGTCTCATATAATATTTTTCCTCTTGTGATTCTTCACTTCATTAGAATGGTGTCCAGGTCCATGTGTGTTCTGTTGTTTCATCACTTTTTTTTAGGAATGCATAGTATTCTGTGTGTGTATATAACCAATAGTTCTTTATCCATTCCTCAACTGACATTTAGGTGATTTCTGTCTTCTTGCTACTGGGAATAGTGTTGTTCTGGACATGAGTGTACAAATGTCTGTTTAGGCTATCACCCTTCTCTGGTCTTGCGCAGTTGTCACTCCTTTATGAGGAAACTATCAGGTACTTTCATTGAATGGATAAGAAAATTAAGAGACCTAGAGGAAAACATTATAAAAGAACTCAGGAAAACACTACAAAAGCAATCTGATAAAATAAATAAAAAATTGGAGCCCATAGAAAACTCAAAATGGAAGTACAGAAGATTAATACTAAGATATTAAAAGTAGACAACACTTTGAAAAAGCAAAGCAGTAGAATGGAAGTACTGTGTCATGTCAGGACAGTTGACTGCATCAGGTGGAGCAGGAACGTGATAGTAACAAACAAAAACCGTAAAAACACACCAACAAGACTGAGCTAACAATCATCTCCAGGCCCCCACCTTCCCCCACCCTGCAAACACCCAACCTGGAATCAACAGCGGTTTTCACTTTGAGGTCAACAGCACATGATTTTCAAGGGCTCACCCTATGTATCAACAGAACTGCTACCTTGGTGGCACCAGGGTGAGAGTTGGTGACTCCTCTGGTCAACAGAGAAGGGAGTTAAGGATGATTCTAATCTTACTGTCTTTTGTCACTCCACTATGGTTTATCAAAACAACAAATAAATAGGGAGGGATGG